TTTTTATGTGAGTAGCACTACAATACACAAGAAAACGTCGAACCAAAATCAGTGTGTGTACTCCCAAAATGAAAAATATGAAGAAAACCAATTAAGCAACGTATATGCAAAGATTGGTTGAGACAGAAGAGAAAATGAACTGTCTATGATTGCATATCATTGATGTGAGGAAAATGACATCCCTAGGCCCCTATTTATAGAGCATGAAGGGTTGGGGATGAAAGAATGCAAGCCAAATCTTGCGATCTTTCGAACAAAAGCAACCCCAAATGTCTCTAGCTTTTAGCCCAGCTCTCGCTCAAGCGAGAGTAGCACCTTTCCAGAAGAAGCCCCATTGTTTGCTTTTTGCTCGAGCAACTGATGTGAGACCCTATTTATAGAGCATGAAGGGTTGGGGATGAAAGAATGCAAGCCAAATCTTGCGATCTTTCGAACAGAAGCAACCCCAAATGTCGCGAGCTTGTAGCCCAACTCTTGCTCAAGCGAAGCCCCATTGTTCGCTTTCTTCTCGAGCGTTGCTCGAGCGACGAACACTGTCGCGGCCAATGACAAGCGAGGGAGGGTTTAACAGGGTTTTTCCCAATTTTCCTCATTTTTCATCCAATTTTGGACCACAATTTCTCATTCATTCGGAACTGGTTTTAAGACTTCAAATATACTACGACGACCTATTCGACGAGTACAATAAGTTGGTCTATTGTATTTTGACGATCGTATCAAGTCCAAATATTTGATCAAAGTTGACACTGAATCAATTTTTCCAAGTTTTACTTAATCACAATTTTGATTATTTTGATCCAATTCCATCAGTACAAGACTACACTCTAACATCAAAATGTCATATTTATAATATAACTATACATTAATGTTCAATAAGGTATATTCACTATATGCCAAGAAAATAACACCATTCATCTCGAAGCTTTAAAATGTAGCAAGTTATGGATCATTATAGTTGTATAATCACTTTTTAATGATTGGAACTATTCAAATTTATGTTAATTTTTCGTGTGATCTTTTTATGTCCAATTGTATGAATCTTTTCTTCACAATTGGATAGTTGAGGCACATTTTCACAATCATCATGTGCCAAGTTATCTAAGATTAGGAGGGCTTCATTACGATAGGTTGATTTTGTGCAACTGTAATAATAGGTTGTGAATCAACCAGCTCATTTTTAAAATATTAAAGGATCAACTCATTATTAAGGCAACAGTTTCAGGATAATGGTGGAAACTCTCACTTATAGATTGATAAATTATGATAATTTTATTTAGCACCAGTTTGTTTGGTAAGAATTAAAATTTAAAATTTAATCCAAATCAAAGTTAATAATTAATTTTAATCACATTTTTATGGGATACACAACTTTATAGCTACAGAATTCATTCATTTTTATTAAAATTCACTAAAAATCTGATTTTAATCTCTAAGAAACAATGACTTATTATAAGGAAACTTCTTTCAAAATATTTTATTCCATTTAACTTGAAAAACTAATATTGTTCCAGTTATCAGTAAATTTCTACCATCTCAACCACAAGAAATGTACAAAGAATAATTTAGTTTAATTTAAAGTTTAGTGATGAGTGTTGTTGACACATTGGTTGCTGGCGATTTGTCATCAACGCTTGTTACTTTTGTACTTGAGAAGATATAAAGAGAGCTTTTCTAGTCTTCTACTACTCTTCCATGAGGGAAGGTGTATTTTACCTATTTGACTTCGATCATAAAATGAGTTTATTGTTTTTAAAAATTATTTAATTTTTATATTCTTTTATGTTTGAAGTGAACAATTTTGAGTGTTTACGAAGTGAATGATTTTGAGCGTTTATGTATTGAGGAAAGCAGTGGATCTAGCAGGGATGGGGATGGTAGTGGATCTAGTTGCGACGACGAGGATGGAAATAGTGGTGATGGTGGGTTTGTGGTGTTTTTGTTGGGTGGTGGTTGTGGTGATGTCTAGCAACAATGGGGATGGTGGTAGATTTGGTGGTGACGACAGGGATGGAGGTGGGGGGTTTGGGGGCTCTTTATTGTTGGGTGGTGGTTGTGGTATGCTGTGGTTATGTCAGTGTTGTTGGCGACGATGGGGATGGTGATGGATCTGGCGACGACGATGGCTTTGGGTGGTGGTTGTGGTGTGGTGATGTCTGTGTATCTTGACTTCCCATTGCACATGCATGTGCACGTCAATGTGTGCTGAAAAATACCTCATGCGTGTTAGTAAATTGAGTTGAGAGTTTTTGGTGCACAGAAACTGAAAGACATGTGGTTTTTGAAGATACTAATTGAGGGATAAATTTTCTGTTCTACTCTATCCTTGGTCTATATTTGGACAATGCGAAGTGGAAAATGTCTTTTTTTTTTTTTACAATGTTACCCAATAGAACAGAAGGGAAAGGCTGCATTTTTCCCTTAATAGTAATTTTTTCGATGACATTCAAAGCTATGTTAGGCTTATAAGCATTTTAAATTATTTGTCACAAAATATAAGTAACTAATAGCCAATTAGAAGGAAATTCGACACCTGAGTGGGATACAAATTTTTCAGACGGTGATTGGACTAAAATGTCGAAGTGAAACTACAGAAAAACATGCAATTAATTAATTTTAGCCAACATAGCTTTGAATTTTTCTTTGAAAATTGCTGTGTATGAGACCAAAGCATAACATGGAAAAGATTTACACAAGAATAGGTCATTTTGAGCACACAGTTCATGAGTATATTATCCAAAAATTGTCAATACTAGTGCAACTCTTTACCCATGGAACAATAATCACCAGAGTGCATGATGTTGGAATTCGAAAGTCGGATAATAATTTGATTTTAGCACCAGCAGAACTATGAATCTTCATGTTAATTTATAAATATTTTCAAGATACATTTATATGATAACATTGTTCCTCACGAACTTCCAAAGGTTTACCAGCTTACTAATAGTATCAATGCTGTGGCATTATTTTCTACTCATCTTGAATGAAATGTGCAATAAAATTCTTCGACGAAAACTATTTGGAGAAGTTAATTCATGGTAATGCAAGGACAATCGCAAGTTTTCCCCTATTGTGCGTGGTTTGCATCCTTAATTCTTTGCCCCTGTTGCGCGTGGTTTGGATCTCTGATTCTTATTCCTAAAGTTTCATATGATCTGAAATGAATTTGAGGAAACGGTGAACCCAACATCACTTATTTTTACAAGAACTTCTAAGCTACATGGATAGTGACGTAAAAAAAGGTCGGATATGGTGATTTAAAGCTACTAATAATTTTTTATTTTTTTTAAAGTTCAATACGAAAGAAAGACTAAATCAAATCAAAATTTAAAATATTCAATGAATGTTATCTTGGCTAAGATCGGAAATTAACACTTGAAATTGGAAAAAATAAAAAATAAAATAGTGTTTTATCTAGCATTTGAGAGTTATAATCTATGTTATGTTGTATTCGTAAGATAGAAATTACAATATATGTTATTTGAATTTTTTGACATGGGCCGTATAGTTATTAATCATTTGAGATAATTACTGACTCTAAGTAATTTTTTCGGTATTTTACATTGTATTGTATGATATTTGATTTTAGTTTATATAAATATTTGTTAAAATTAGTGGCGGAGAGAGAGATGGAGGCCAATGGGGTCGGTGAAGAATTTGAAATATTTATATTTGTAAAAGAGACTCCATGTGCACGGTCACCTCCACAGTATTTCTCTATTTTCACACTACTTCACCTCATCAATCCAACTGATAAAGAAAAGAAATTAAATAATTTAATAAATTAAACAAAAAAAACATAGGCAAGAATAAAAAGAAACAAAAAAAAATTATAAAGTTTTTAAATTAAATTGAAATAATTAAAAATAAAAATAAATATTATTTAATTAAAATTAAAAAAATTACATTTTAAATGAAAAGAATTAAAAAGAATTTTAAATAAAAAAATATAATAAAAAAAATGAAAGAAAGTTACGAAAATTAAATAAAGAATATATAAATATTATTTAGTTAAAATTGAAAAATTAAGTTTTCTTAT